TATATATATATATATATATATATATATATATATATATATATATATATATATATATATATATATATATATATATATATATATTTTGGAAAAATAGATTACTGCTAAATTTATAGCCATCTGTGGATAGACAATGTTTCCCGTTCTACTTCTTGGAAGTTAACAATTCTATTTCGTGCGACCTTCAGGCAAGTGGTGAAAATCTTCCATTTACAAATTTCTGAAGCATTTTCACGATTAGACATAAGCACCCCGCAATCAAAGGATAGGTAATACCCCTTTGTCCTTCAGGAACCAAGGACGTTGTCACCTATTAACTTACACCAAACCATTATTACAATATGCTCCTTGTTCTGACACCCTTTTTCTACTGCATACCAGGCTGCTTCGTGATGTTAAGCACATTCTTGGCTGCATAAGATCTTTGCCTAGTGACAACTCGAGTAAACCTGACATCCCAAACTGGGGGCAACTTGATGAATTCTTTGATCAAAGATTCGGATCTGAAGCTGGATAATAATATGAATGTGTATTGGCCATTGTTTTCCTTTTCGATGAAGGGTGTCATATTTGAGGAGTAAATAACAGGATACCAGAAGTCAATTTTCAACCTATGTCATCCCCCTTGTACAACTTAAATATCAAGGTACGATGTAAAAAAAAATTTATCCTAATTAATTTTGATGAATCTTTGTCAGTAGGGGTAAATGTTTAATCTCTTTTGAAATATAATCGAGGTTTGCATACCCATAACATTTATGGGCACTTTTTAGTTTCCATTTCTAAACCTTTACGAAGTTTAAGAAACACTGGTATTGCCCAATTTCTTTTTCTCTTCTTTTGTTTCTACAACTCGTACAATATGAGGAGAGCTGCATTTTGGCCTCCAAAACTCAATTCATATGTCGCTCCACCTCTTACGTACTACATAGCAATTAATGTTTAGTTCCTACAACTAATTCGAACTGCATGAAGTTCCGCTGGGCCTTTATTTTCCCCTTTCTAGTCTGACTTATGCTGCTTAGGAACTAGTCATGTATATTAGATTTTCATACTTACGTAATGAAACTTTTCACTATTAGCGTGCATTGTTCAATGACATATGATCATGGATGATTTGAATCATCAGTACATTGACATGATTTTATTTGCAGTATCATCTGAGTGATTTCTTTTTATGTTCAATGGACAGGTATAAAGTAAAGATTCGGATTCAGATATTTCAACAAAACTACTTACCCCCTTCCCCGTTTTGCTGAAACACGTAACGTGTTGTTTGTACTGGCTAGACCAACGCATTTTGCTGCTCTAATTGTAGCTAGTTTAGAGAAAGAACAGCTCAATTGGCTTCCTTGATGAGAAGCTTCATCCAGAATAAGCTTATAGTTCCTTTCTTTTCTTTCCCCCCTCCAATTTCAATTGCCTTCCGTAAAGTTATGCATATTTGTATTTTGTAGAGCAAAATTTATGTCTATTGCTATGAAGAATTGTGCTTACCGCTGGTTATGGCATTTCTTGTCCGACGGATTTTTTCCTAATCGACCCTTCTACTTTCAGGTTTTATATAATAATTTCTCGTTCTTAAATAGAAAAAATAAAGTGAATTTTATGCTCTCAAATTCGAAAGAGAACTCAAAATATAGACGTTGAAACTGCATAAGAGGAATTGAAAGAAGAAGAAGAGATTTTCACGCAAACAATGTAAACCTACAAAAGAAGAGAGATTTGATCTTTAATTTAGCAGACTTCATTCGAGATATTGAATTCAAATGTTCAACATTTTGTTAGTTTGGTAGGTTTAGCAGTAGCAAGTGACGTGAATTTAAAGCTTTAACATTTTCTGTGGATCACATATATTTTAACTCAGTTGAAGTATGTTGTGGTGTATATTAAAATACAAATAAGGAGGAGAGAGGAGGGTATAAAAGGAAGAAGTGAAATTGGAAAGATGATGCAGAGAGAATAATGTGAGTGTCGTTGAAGTGTAGGGTGTAATTTAGGAAGGTAAAAAGAGGCCATGTGAAAAACTGGGGAGTTGGAAGGCTGTTGAAATGGACGTCAAACTGCCTCCATATTCCATTTTTGTCAACTTTCTCTTAATATTCTCTCTCTTTGTCTCTTCCCTCCTGCCAGCCCTAAATCATATGACCCGAACCCAAGAATCCCTTAAATATGATGCAAAATGGATCTCGTTGTATCGTTGATAAGGTTGAAGAAGAAGTCTTAGAAGAAGTCCTACCTAATAAAAATTCAATAAAAAAAGAAGAAGCCCCCTCAAACAAATTGAACTGTGTATATAGATATTTAAATAATATGCGTGAGTTAGAGCAGCAAGAGTAGTAGTAGATGAAGAATTAAATGAGGTGGAGGGGAAAGGGGAAATTGGTAAAAATGGGAAGGGAGTGGTTTCTTAGGGTACATTAATGGGAGTTTTTCCGAATTTGGCAAATTCCACAAAAGCACAGCAGAGAGTGGTAATATTGGAGGAAAAGGAAGGGCAGTTGAGGAAATTAAGAAAAATAGTAGTTCCTGATGAAGAAGGTTGAAGATGATAAAGCTGGGTGATGCAGCACCAGAAGTGGTAGTATACATTAAAAACTAATTAATTATTGTTCACCCCCTGGAACCAATTCTAAGCTCCCCCTAATTTACTCCTTTGTTACCGATAGGAAGGAAGGAAGGAAGGAAGGAAGGAAGGCGGCAGAAGAAGCATCGGAAATGGGAAGAGGAAAAATCGCCATCAGGAGGATCGAGAACCGGACGACGCGCCAAGTTACATTCTCCAAGCGCCGAGCCGGAGTGTTCAAGAAGACTCATGAACTCTCTGTTCTGTGTGACGCTCAGATCGGCCTCATCGTCTTCTCCAGCAACGGAAAATTGTTCCAGTACTGCACCCAACCAGCCTGGTCACCACACAACTTCCCTCCTCCTCCTACATTTTTTTCTTTTCTTATAAACTTAGGAATGCTATTAATTTCTGCTTTCCTTCGCACTCGCAGCATGGATCAAATTATCCGGAGGTACCAGATTGCTGTAGGAAATCCAATTCCGGAGCAGAATATGAACCATCCGGTACGCTCCATCTGTGAATGTAACAATAATTTACACTCCAACAAACAAAATCAATGCAAGTAATAATGTTGATCAGGAGGAACTGGAGAGGCGGCTGAGGATCATGAGAAAAGACACGGACGATCTTCAGCTGAGTTTGCAACGCTACACCGCCGAGGATTTCAGCACTTTTCAGCTTCGCGATCTCCACGATATCGAGAACCGCCTCCAAAACTCTCTCGACAGAGTTCGTGCTCGGAAGGTAATCAATTCATTAATTAACGTCTTTCACTTTTATTAGATAATTAATTAATTAATTAATTAATTTGCGTTTTGCAGTCGGAGCTGTTACAGCAGCAGGTCGACAATCTGCGAAGAAAGGTTGTTCCTATATGTACATAATTTATGCATATATCGTAATTAATTAAGGATTTCCCTTTTCCATGACCATGATTGGGTTGATGATATTAGGAGAAAATGCTGGAGGATGAGAATGAACAAATTTACCATCTGGTAATTAAAATTAAGTATTGGATGATTGTGGTTTTGTTAATTTGTGATCAAATTAATAAGTGATAATGATGATGGGGGTTAGATAAAAGAGCAGCAGATGGCGATGGAGGAGCAGCAGGTGGTGGCGATGATGCAGAAAAGAAGAAGCGATGACGTTGAGGAGGAGCAGGTAGTAAATATGGATGGAGATGATGGGTTTGGGTTCGACAATAGTAGTAATGATATTCATCCGCACCTTCAGCTCCAACTTCAGCACTATCACCAGCACCAGCATCATCATGAGCCTAGCAGCGTTCTTCAGCTCGCCCCACTGCCCTCTCCGCCGCCACCGCCGCCCTTCCTTCCGTACCGCCTTCAGCCGTTTCAACCCAATCTTCAAGACATCAACCTCCATTCCTCCACCTACGGTACCCTAACACCATACCCTTTCACATGCATCATCTACTCTAATGTTACCATTTCAATATGATATTATATATGTGTACAAGCTTATTCTTTTCACTGTGTATATATATAAATTATGTATATATTGATGCATGCAGAGTAGTAGGAGTGGAAATTAGAGGAGAAGGGTTTGGAGGCAACAACCTCTTGGTGCTGTGCTGACTGCCAATTCATATCCTCCTCCTAATTTCATGTCACCAAAACCCCCACTTATTTAATATCATTTCAGACTCCCTCTTTCTTCTTCTGCTCTTATATATATACTCAATATGCCTTTCTCTATACTATTTTATATCATATCATATCAATTTCCCTCTTTCTCTTTCACTACCTTAAAACCCTAATCCGCACCTTATTCTGTTACTCCATTCTTCAGTTCTTCGTTAAACTAAAAAAAAAAAAAAAAAAAAAAAAAAAAAAAAAAAAAAAAAAAAAAAAAAAAAAAANAAAAAAAAAAAAAAAAAAAAAAAAAAAAAAAAAAAAAAAAAACTCAACATGTACAATTAAGTTTATATGAATTGTTTAGGAGAATAAACAATTAAGTTTCATCTCACAAAAAAATGGGAAATTTATTGTTAATAACACTATTGTTACTCTCTGCTCTCTTCCACGAGAAGGGGAGGGTGGGAGGATATACATATATTCTTTTTTGTTATTTTAATAATAATTTTTCAAAAATTTCTTAAGTTTATGCTAAATTGATACATAAACTTCACAATGTAATTTACCCGCAAACATTTGAGACTCGCTGCAACAAAATAATATAATGTAAGTTTTTCATTAAAAATATCTCCAACTTTTATTAAAATTACAAATTTAACTGTTAAACTTTTAAATAAATTTTAATTTTAATTTTAATTTTAATTTTGTACATGATATATTAATTTATTTTTCAAAATTTCAAATTTATTTGAGAAACATCAAGCATAAAGCATACAAAGTTTATGAGGGGCAAAATTAAAAATTTAGTGAATTAACAAGTAAATGTAAACTCCAAAATTTAGATATTTAGCGAAAAATATAAATAATTCTAGTTTTATTTTCATTATTATTTTATTCATTTATTTACCTTTTAATCGTTCCCTGGCCCAACAATTGGCGCCTTAATTTATCCGCCGTCCGTTGCGGCTTTCGGCAAAAGAAGTTGATTCGAAGGCTAGACGAGTCGTCTTCAACATCGCCTCCCTGCGCACTCGTTTTCCGATTGCTTTGTGGGACCAAAACATTATCCACTTCATAATTTCAGTTCCTTTTCCCATTTCATCGACTCAAATTAACTCGTGAGAGGAATCGCGTTCCAAGTTCATACTCACTGTTTTGGTGTCTCCATGTCAACTCTACAATATTCTAGCGACTGCTTTCTCAACGATGCTCTGTTTGCTTTGACGCAAAATGGTTCAGAAAACGTACCTTCTTCTTTACCACGAGAGCTTTGCAGATCATTAATATGGCCATCTGCTCTGTTTTCTTCAATTAATCAACAAGTTTTGAGTACAGCCTTCCCTTTCCAGAAAGGCCGTTTGTAATATCCCGGATGGATCCAACCTGACCTTTCAATCATTGCAGTGGCTTTCTTTTTCCTGCTCTCTGTTGTGGGCAGGTTAACAATATTCTTAATTGTAAATGTAATTGGGTATATGAAAGAAACATTTTTGGTTTCGTAATTCAGATTTTATGTTATTTCGATTTTCTGAGGTTTCATTGGTATGCCGTCTTAGTATACATGGAATCTTGATTGGTAACTGATAATTTCAGCTCTATATGCTTACCAACATGGAGTTAGGGCTGTTTTCTTTCTTTTTCTCTCCATTCCTTTTGTTATAAGTTTCATGAATTGTAAGTTCAGATATCATTTGATACATTGCTAACTGTGAATATAAACCTAATATTGTACCGTCATAGCATGCTGCATATACTAGCGGCTGATTTTCAGAATTTGTTTGTATTTTGTATTGCTCAACGTTTGATGATGGTCCAGATTTACGTTGCAATTATTTCTCTGGAACCTATTTGACCTCAACTGTTTCATTCTTGTGCAATTACTTGGTGTTCCTAAACAATATTGTTGTGTGCAATTTGTTCTTTCCTTATGAGAAATTCTATTGTTTTTTTTTTTTTTTTTTTTTTTGAA